GTACTTGGTATGAAATCGCGGTTTACAGTGACTTAAGTATTGAATGTTATCCTAGGCAATGAGCTTGCTGACGTTGCTCTGAAGCGCTATGGTACTATAGATTATGAGTGGGGTATCAAGAGTGCTTCTACTGATTTCGTGAATGTTTCGCACACCCAGAAAAGGCGACAGAGTTGGTGTTTCGAACCAAAAAAGGGGAATATTTCATACTGTGTGTCTGACCTCCATGACCCGGGGCAGGCGATCTTTGCTAATGAAGTTCTTGTTCGTCAGTGATGCCTGGTCTTCACCCCGGATTTTGTAAGTAGCGCAGGTTCTGAATGAACCATACTAATCGGTTTTTCAAGCCATCCCGACCATTCCAGGTGGTGGGAACCATACCCCAGGATTCACGGAAGCCGCACGTTCCGAAGTATCCCATGATGCCTGTTTGGTAGTATCGAAGGCACTCGCGGCTGTTGGCATGCGAGTGTTGACTGACGAGGCATTTCTCCAGAGAGTACGTGTTACGCGGCATTCAAATAACTTCGTTTTGACCGCGTTTTGCAGGTGAAGGACACGTTTGAGCCTTTGAGGAAGATAAGAAACTAAGAGTGTAACTGTTAACCCGTGATAGGCGCCCTGTAGAATCAGGAGGAAGAATTTGTCTATGTCAAACATAATTTGTTACATTAAGTTTGTTCTCTTCAATTCTTCAACTAATCTCTAATAATAAACACATACATGATCAACTCGTCTTAAAACGACTCGCAGAGCCCAGGGAAACAAGGTCAAAGTTGCCAGTGTAAATTTAAACGCCGTGGCTCAGTGTAGCACTCCGCTTTTCTTCATTAGATAATCGTAAATTTCGGACTTATCATAAACCTGGAGCAACGGCAACAGTATGTAACTTCAAAGCAGTCTTAGCTAGCTATGTGGCCATGGCAGGACTTCTCACTGTGATGTTTCACGATCATGTTCGCACTGGGCAGGTTGCCAGCTGAGGCAAATCGGCGTCCCGAATCCCGAGATTTCTGACTTTCACAAGATCTTCTAATCGTGGAAAACAATATTGTGCGACCAGTGCCAGCCCAGAGTTTCCGTCAGTGATTGCCAGTCTGGAATTGACTATCGTTCCAACCCCTTGTTTCTAACATGACAATAGTTCAGGCTGATGTTCTTTGGCGGCCAGAAGATGACTATAAGGTCAAACCGACACTGGAAGAAGGGGTCATTTATCGGCCAGATATCCTTACGGTCATAGATACTGCTATCGATAGTCTCAGTGGCGAACTACGGGAACTGAACCTCGATATTCATGGTAAGATCATGACATTGTTTTGCTCACAGGAAGCACCGATGTACTATGCTAATTCAGATGCGCAGATCATCCAGAGCTTAAATATGAAGAAAGGTGCGCCTATATCTCGAATCCAAATTGCAACCAATCGCTGGGCAATTGAACTAATTGCCGGCCGCTCAGATACGCCCACGATGCATACACCTCTTTCCTAGAGAAGCACGGTTTTGAAGTCACGAGGCATCACCTCCTTGAGACTGCATGGGTTGCGACCTACACCCACGGGCGGGGCGGACACGTTCTAGGGGTGAACTCAGAGATGGATGCACTTCCGGGTATTGGACATGCGTGTGGACATAATCTCATTGGCATCTCGGGCGTCGCTGTCGCCTGTGCGGCAAAAGCAGCGATGCAGCAGCTCAATATCGACGGGAAGGTTATTCTTCTTGGTACACCTGGTATGTCATTTTCCCCTGATCGCGATGGATCGATTACATACTCTCAATAGCCGAAGAAGGCGGGTTTGGAAAAGTGAAGCTGTGGGAGAGGGGAGCATACAAAGAGATGGACGTCTGTCTCATGTTCGTGATCAGGCCTGGCTGACCAGTGTTTTTTTCTCGTTGACTCACGTTCATGACAGGTGCCACCCTGCTCCTGGGCCCCTTCATTCCATCAGTTTGAGCAGCTGTCTTGCAGTTATACGTCTCGAGATAGAATACTCAGGCCACACGTGCGGTCTCCCAATGTTCATCCTTTGGCTTGAACTCTGACTTGTGCCCTCACAGTGCGCATGCTGCACTTAGTCCCTGGGAAGGAAAAAACGCGCTAGATGCAGCTGTTCTAGCATATACAAACATCGCTTTACTGCGCCAGCAGATTAAGCCTACGCATCGTGTGCATGGAATTATTGAGGGTAGTAATTGGGCACCGAGCAGTAAGTGTCTGTCATTCAATGCTGGACATACATTTGAGAGCGTGTGCGACAGTTATCTCGGATAACTCAAAGATGTAGTAAGTGTGGGTTCTAGCTCCAGAGACTCGATGCAGGTGGTGATATACTTCAGTTATTATATCCGTGCGCCAACTACCGTTGAAGCGGAAGAGACGCTCAAGCGTGTCGTTCCCTGTTTCGAGTGAGTCACTATCCGGCATTCACGTCACCTCGATCCCAGACTTCGCGCAGAGCAGCAGCACTTGCAACCGGGACGAAAGTCAAAGTTACCAGAGGATTTACTGGGAACGAACTTGTGCAGAACAAAGCCCTCGGTGTGTTTTCTTGATGCCAACCCCGTGATTCCTCCTAGATTTTGCGCAGGTGACGAACTGTCTGATGTGGTCAGGAAGAAGTACGGCGTCATTGATTATGAATATGGGATTAGTGGTGCATCGACTGACTTTGTGAGCGTGCTTGTATAGTATCTCAAGCAGGTGTACTGATTTCACCCAAGGGAAATGTTTCATATTGTACGTCTTGCTCGTAATGCTCGGCAGGCACTTTGAAAGTCATTATCCACCAGTAATGCCTGGTTTACATCCCGGGTTTTGTTCGTACAGTTTTCCTTCTGTCACTGATAATTTCTGATTCCAAAACCACGTCTCAGCGATACCAACCGTCCCGGAAGGTGGTAACCATACTCGGGCATTCACCGACTCGGCACGTTCGCAGGCCTCTCACGATGCTTGTCTCGTTGTCTCAAAGGCCCTCGCACACGTTGGCATGCGCGTGATCACGGACGGTGGATTTTTGCAGCAGGTAAGATGGATTCTGTCTAACCTTCTAATTACTACAACACATTGTACCGCAGGTGAAAGATGCTTTCAAGGAACAAAAGAATAACATGACGTGACAAATGAAAGCAAGACGCATACACCAACACAACTACATAGTAAGACTTACAAATCCAATGATTTCTGATCGTGCTTTGACTCCAAACCAAAACTTGTTGCTCGAGTTGTTCACCACTTTTCGTGGGCAGGACGCACTGTTCGGAAGAGAGTGAAGACACAGTAATGGCAAATCGCAACCACGCTTACGGTCGATTTCCCAAGCCCAGGCTGAACTATCTTGCTCGACGAGGTGCAAGTAGGCCTAAAGGGTGTGATCAGTTCAGATGCGTATTGCCACAAGAGTGCTCCTACCTTTGCGATAGAATTGGGATCAAGTCGAACATCTTGGTTGGCCTCCCAAGAGGGGTCGTTGCGACGAGATTTGGTGCGGTCGGTGATGATGCCTGTTCCTCTTTAGACGTTACTTTATAGATGCTGACATTATATGCTTACCGCCGTCGATAATACTCTGAGAAACACATTTGAAGGTTCATAAATACTTTTAGCACCAGAAGATGAAGACTCACATGAGCAACCTAAGAGTCAAGATATCAGCCCAGAAACAAACCCAAGGTGATGCAGAAGACACCCACGTGTATATTCTGCTTGCCGAACTCCTTGGCTAAGCTCTGCGACAAAGCCCTTATCGCAAACTTGCCCGCAGAAAACGCAGAGGTTGTGGTGTTGCCTCGGATAGAAGCCGTTGCGCCGGTGAAAATAAGGGTGCCCCTTTTACGAGCATTGCCAGCAACTCCGCCCTCGTTCGCAGTCTCGAGCTCGAGCTTTGTGAACTCGAGAACGGCCGCGCGTGCAAAGGCAAAAGCCGCCAAAATGTTAGTGTCGATCGACTCACGGACTTCGTCTTCGGTGATATCAAGGAACGGCTTCCAGACACCGTAGCCCGCGTTGAAGACCGCGACGCGGAGAGGGGAGGATGGCCAGTGGGACTTGATGGAAACGAATGCTGACTTGATGGATGCGGGGGTGTAGTCATTGAGAGGGAATGCTGCAGCCTGTTCCAAATGAGCTGATCAACATGACTGGATGGGAGTGCGCATATGGATAGGAGTAAGATACAGTACCTCTGCGCCTGCTTGGTTGAGCTCTGTAGCGAGTTTATTGAGATATTCCGGTCCTCGGGAGATCAGAGCTACTCTGTAGCCAGATCTGGCGAAGAGACGGCTGTGTGTTAGTCCATACAGTATCAGTACAAGTTGATGAGATAAGACGTGATATTATGTACGCGGTTGCAGCTCCGGTCCCTGTGGCATGAGACGTCAGCCATACGTGTTTTTACCCACTGAGAATGACTTACCACTGCCATCGCCGATACCAGCAACCACGAACAAAGGACGGACTGAAGGCATCTTTTAAGTTGATGAAGTTATGAGAAGGAAGGAGAGTAATGACAATATCGTACTAACTGCACGATATTTATACATAGCCCCTCTCACTGAGATCAGTGGTTCTTTGGCGCAATCAGTCGTAATCATGATCAGTCATCTTGGCATGACAGAACGATTGTTCATCCACCTCGTCTGAATCATCTGCATCAATGACGTCAGACTGAGCATCTCCAATTGGCTTTGGGTCTATATTTGATACCCAAATTGGTGTTTGAACCCAACACAACTCGGAGCCGTTTTGATATCCCTCAAGTACTAGCGTTCAGGTCAGATTACTCCTTAGAACGACAAGTCTGGCTCTCGCATAATCGTGCATCGAATACCACCGTTTACTGGTATGGTATCATCAAGTTACGTGTAGGAGCTAGAGTTCAGCCAACTCAGGAGGGGAACGAACAGTCCGGTTTGGGACACACGCCCAATTAGTTACCAGGAAGACGTGAAAGAAAACAAGTCTATTTCGGAACTGGCGAATCTAACAAGATACCTCAGTGGTGGTCACCCAGCGCAATATGACCAGCCTTGCTGTTCTGCCAAGCGTCACGACGTTTAGCCCAAGTGTACGTTCCATATCCTGGAACCTAATGAGCTGGTTTGTGAATGAATGCATCAAGTGTTACGCACCAATAGCAAAGGGGACTATCCAGTAGGGAACTTGGGCAGCAAGACGCCTGTAGCCGTTGAATAGCCAGCCTTTAATTATGCCTTTTGAGCCCCGCTGCCTGAATGGAGAGACAGCTGCCAGTGCCGAAATAAGGGGAGACAAAGAGCCCGCATCATGGTAGGAATCCGACGAGAATGGACGCGACAAATAGGAAGCACGAGCCGAAGTTAGTGACCTGTTTCAAGAAGACAGTGGGATAGATGACGCACTGTAAACAACAACTCCTCTCTGTTTTTGCATGCTGGTGTCACCCCACCAAGGGCACTGTGGAAAAAGAGGTAAGAACAACAGTATGATGCTTGCCATTGGCAGCACGACAACTCACAAATGATTTAGCTGTAAGCTCGAAATTAGCACAACTGTTCCATAGCAAAAAAAAAAAAGAGAAAAACATACGTCCAGGCATTCCATTTAGACGTGCAGCGGTGGGACGCATGATGGGCGAAGTGGTACACCGACGTTGGCTGAATGGTAGGTGCGGCGTTGGATGTTTAGACCCGATGTTTTCCGGCAGGAACAAACAAGGACAACTAACGCCAGATTTTGTCACGTCACACATATGTGACATGTTCTGAAACTTGCTTTATTTTGAAGTGTTTTGACCAACAACGACTACCAAGCTGAAAGTACGTGTCATATATCATAAATTGTCGACCTCAATGCCTGAACCATGATTGACTAGGTCACGTCCACTCCTTTTCTTCCAAGATGATGAGCCACCAGACGCTGTACAACATGGCGAACTATCTTGGTGTCCTCGCTATGATCACCGTAGTCGCATACCATTTCGTTGCTGTGAACGCAAGATATCTTGCCAAGAATGGGGCCAGCAGTTGAACGCGCAGAGGGTGTTCGAATCATTGTGAGGATTGCGTGTGTAAAGTGTGTCGTCGACTCAATCCTTTCCAGCTTGCATTCGTCCGCTGATACATATGTATTTAAGCTGTCCTTTCATCAAATTTATTGTTCCGTCAACCATATTGCGACTGCCCTCTCCAATCTATGGCCTTATAGACAACCAATATGTCCATTGAGCGTCTATGCAGCATATTACTCTGTCATCTTGACCCTCTCCACTGATCCGGTGCGACCTCCGGGGTTACATCATTAGCAATCATAGGGTCCCTCCTCCGAGGCTGACTTTGCACAACCTCAGGGAATACCATTTCAAGATCATTGTCCTGCTTCTCCTTACAACAACAATACGAGCATGCAACAGGGTCTGTCAGTACTGTCTTCGTGAGCGAGCCATTTGGTACGAGGCGGCTTCCTACCGTCGCCGCAGATATTGCTGCAGATACCTGCAGCAATGTTCAACAGTGAAAAACGAATGGGATTAGTATCCGCATCACTCACAGCAACAGGTTACAAGGCTGAGGATGATATCGCAGCAGTCGGACATGGATGTATTTTCTAAGCAAAAGTTGCCGACTTCAAACATGCTTAACAACCGGTCGTGACATCCGTGGGTACCGATATCTTTGATCGGTTTCTTCCAGGATAGGTTGCTCATTGGGCGTGCATTGGACCTTGGGAATCATGATGTTGCACTACCGCAATGCTGCAGTGCGTTGCGACCATCAAACTATGTACATATTTCACTTTTGAAAAAACCTCCTAGATCAAGAGCAATCTCACGCTGCATAACATGCCCGTCCTCTTCTCTTAAGACTTGGACCCTTGAGTCCTGGTTCGTGCTCGGCGGCGTTATGAGTGCCAGTGTACCATGGCTTGAAAAGTTCACGGAGATCTGCGGGTACTAGTATTGGAAAGCTTGAACTTCGGCGCTATAATTGAATGACGATGTGTTATAGGCTTGATACGTACTTCCGATCAACACTTAATTTGACATGTCGTGCGAGTGGGTTATGCAGTAGTGCTGTCGAAAAGTCAGTATGTTCAAGCATCGGATGATCGAGCTTTATGTAGCCCCTTGGACCCAAAGTCGGCTCCAGCCTATAATCAAAATTCCATTCCCCAAGTCGTGGATATATTGATTCTCTCGGAAGTATCCATAGAAAACAGTACGGGGTATCGGTAGTCATAACTGTACATGCTGAAAGTATTGTCCTATAGGGTACTATCCTCAATAAACACAAATCGGAATAAAAAAAACCTGTACATGCTATTTAGTAACAGGCGTCGCAGTATTCTCCGCGGAAGATGAGGTTTTAATCCCAAACAAAACAGCATCGATCAAAGCATCCAAATCAGTGCCGCCTAAATCTCTTTCCTCCTGGTCAACTCGTTCCTTCATCTCTTTCGAAGCTATCCAAGTGGGAAGGGGGTCAGCGCCACCTCTGTATTTTGTCCAGTATGCAATGAAGAGTTTCATTTCTGGACGATACTTGCGACCCTTCCTGTGTGCGCTCAAGCTGACTAACATCGCAGCATAGGAGAGCTGATACAGTAACTGCAGGTCATCATCAGATGCGCTAAGACGGGCTACTTGGTTATTCAGCGCAAGGTCTTGATGCTCCATGCGTGCTGCAAGCCAATCTGCAACAAGAGTATGGTTTGAATCAGCTAGGAGAAGTGCAAGCTCTGTTGCAGCGTCGACATAGTTCTTCGAAAGCGCTCCGTAAGCAGCTTCCATCTCCTCTTTGAAGTAACTGCGTAGGACTTTGGAAGGCCGAGGCCACTGGACGCTTTTCTCCTCAAGAATCTTGGTGTTCAAGCCAAGTATAAACGTACTTGGGGCAAGCCCCTTGTTACGACCTAGGATGCCATGGGTAAGGCACACAGACTGACCATCGTGACCAGAACCAGTAAGCGGAGACGATTTCAACAAACGTGAGGGGACAGCTAATATCCCTCGACTGACACGTGGAGAGAACCCAATGTAGGCCCCCCATAGAAGGGAAGCAGATTGGTTCTGACGGATGGGTTCGTAAAGACCAGTGCGATTATCTGGTCCACGCTCTACGATTGTTGACGATTTTTCTTTGGCTACGGGCTGCTTCTCAGACATTCCCGAGTCAATAGTCCGCCTTTTCGCTTTGAGGATATCTGTAGGGTCACTGGCGATGAGCCTGGATTTGAAAAGGCGAAGGCGGATGTCGACGGGATGCTGCTTCATGGCTGGAACCTCCTTACTCAAAATGGGCCATGGATCATCGCCCTCTATGAGGGGAACCAGAGTTTTATCAATACCCGTACGGCTTGGACCAGTCCATGCTGCCCATCGATTAGAGCAGTAATGCCGATTACGCCATGCAGGCCACGCATAGCGGAACACAGCGAGAGAGGATGCGCTGGCCAACAAAATAATGCCAAGCGAATCACTGTTATTGCCTGTACAGATATTAGCAATGCTACGTGACCCAAACACATGGGTCACATACCGGCAAGGAATGAAAGGACCATGCAACCTAACGAGGCAATAAGAGCCAACGCTATGCCTGTCCACCATAGGTGCTCCCGACGCCCAAGACTGAACCTGATTGTCCAGAGTCCCTCGCCCTCGCAGATTTCGACGAGAGTGGTAATTGCACCTTGAACTAAAGAAACGGCCACAGCAAGACCAGTTGCAATCCAAAATATTTGCATGCGCTCTGCAGCAGTAAGTTTGCTCATAAGGAATGCATCACCAGCGTCGGTACTGGGGGAAGGGGATGATGAAGGGACACTGGTAGGGAGGGAAGTAGAAGCTGGGGAGGCCGCAAGTTGGGCATAGGGCGGTGGTAAAGCAGTGGCGTACCCAATTGCGACATTGATGATGACGTTGAGTGCAAGTTTGATGGTGATCATCATGAGGAAAATCCTTAAGCTCTCGGGCTCAGAAATAACTTGCAACCTGACAGCGAGAGTTTTATACCGACATCGTGCGGCGTGTCCACATGCTGTAGCCTGAAGCAAGAGTTTCTTCAAATTAATATCTGAGCAGTGCGAGAACCCTTGGGAGACAAGGAGTTCCAAGAAGTTTGATGGCTGTGTACTAGTAACAAGGCAACTAGTACCCCATGATTAGCCTTCAAATCTTTGTGTCAATAATTTTCCAAAGATGATCCCCTGTACGCACCTGGAAATAATTTCCTCGTGGACCCAGTACCCTTTCAAACCATCGAGATCGCCTTATGCTCGGTCAACAACCCACCAGAAGTGAATATGGTGGGGATCTGATTGAACTTCTTTACCTTCTAATAACTGCGAACACACCCCAGCAGGCACTCCTCTTGGTACTGCCTTTCCGAGTCTGATAGATATTACATATGGTGAGGTCACTGCTGCATGTAAACTTCTAACAGGGCGATCATGATTGAGGCACGAGTTATGCCCAGGATAGTACAATGAGCATCAAGTCTGCCCCAGGGGCAGGCTGTGGGAGGCTGTGAGACGGAACTTGAACTGGAAAAATGGAGGCGAATCTGAGTTAGCTGAAAGAGTCGCGGGGGTCCATATGATTACGACGGGGTATTGACTGTGGGCTATCGCGATCTCTGTGTAGCACGCGTGATGTGCGTGAGATTGGAAATATTTCCTTGCATCGAACCGGGAATGTTTAGATCTGGAACACTGCGAGGGCTGCTTCGTTACACGATGACGGCCAGCAATTGAGTGGTGGAAGATTCTAAATTACCCATTGGTAGCGAACATGATTTGGGAAAGAATCGAGAACTGAAATTTCTTTCTGCGAGTCTGGAACTAATCAGTGGCGAATATGTGGTATCATTGGAGCGGTGTATCCGCGACTGCCTGCGTGTCGCGAGCAAGGCAAGAAGTGGTGAAGAGTGACACTGAATGGCTGACTAAGCTACGGTACTGGTGCCTCGCCCAAAGGTCCAACTCTATCATGTAGTAAATTTAGCATACCTCCTAAAAAGCTGTCATCGCCATCGTAAAATACTTTCACAGATTAATTGCAGAAATTCGCTGAAGCGCCGTCCTGTTTATAAACTGCCGCTTGTTATCCTCTACGCCCCGACCACGCTTCAAAACCAAAACGCTCGAACCAGTCCACGTGACTCACTGATGCGAAGAGCGCAACTCTTCGCATCCGAGTCACGCGAACACATCCTTCATTATCTCACCGCTGTCGACAGCTGTCTCATTTTATACCAAAACCTTTCATTACCATCGACCCTTTCTTTCGTTACTGGCACCCATTCTCGGTTCGCCGTCTCCGAATCTGTCTAAACTACTATGCGACTCTCGTTATTCTGTCAAAACGATACCCCTTCCTACCGTCACTCATTCAGTCTCTCGTACTCTCTCTCCTTTACCACCACCCTACCCCGTCAGGCGCAACGCCACTTCCTTCTGCCTCCGTTTTTTTTTGGTGGAACGATGTTGTTAGTATGCAGCTGACCAAGTCAGCCCCTACCAACACGTTGAGGAGAACCTGCAACTGCCTCCGTCTTCACACAACCGTCCGTCCCTAGGACCCTTGCCGTTTTTCGAGTATATATACCGCCCATGTACACATACCTATAACGAATCCTATACTCAGATCCCCGCTCCAAGAACGACCGAAAGCCTCTCAGAAAGTCCTCGTCTCTAGTCCCTCTCTTCGTGTTACCTACTGAACACGTTTCATATCCGTCTCGTTTCGTTCGCAATTCACTGCCGAACTCATACCCAGCCTTACACGCTCCAAAATTCTGGAGTAGAAAGGGCTTAGGGCTTGCACTGGCATAACTTGCTGTACTACACGATGCTGTTAGTTCTCAAGACGCTTGCGATGAGGAGAAGATCTTCAGTCCATTCTTGCACTGGCGAATCTTTCGGATATGATTTACTTCCGCCCTGCCTTTCCATCTTCTGAACTACGAAACGTGAATCAGTCGATCCACAGCATCCTACAGCATTTCACACTTCTAAGAAAATGGTTATAGACGACAGTATATACATTTACACTACTGCAACTTGACCGGCCGCTATGCTGTCTTTGAATACCTGCAAGCTTGACGAATCATCCTCATACACCAAAGTGCTAACCTCTCCATGAGGAATATAACCCTGATCAGCGTCGAGGAGGACGTATCTGCAATCGCCATTGTTAACGACGAGCTCTGTCAAGCTGGTAAGCTCAGTAGCCCATCGTTGCCAGATGGTCGACCACTGCCTGACACCAATTGCTGAGTCCGGTACGTAGCATGCGCATGATTGCAGCTCAAGTCGCTGCAGGGTATTTTTGTGACGAAGGACAAACTCCTCAACGCCATCAAAGGAGGGCGCATGATCGAAAATGATATTTTCGAGCCGAGGGATTCGAGGGATGGATAGTAGAATGAAGAAAGGCCGAGTAGCGAGGCTGTGATAGGCGCCCTGGGGACTACGTAACACGATTGATTTCAGGAGTGGGATTGGAGGGAGGCAAGAGTGCTCCAAGTGAACCGTTGATGTTATTTGAAGCTGACCAAGTACTGACTTCAGCATTGGATACAACAGACACAGAAATATGCGACAGGGGCGAGTCGGTAAGGGACGAGACGAAGTCGTAGCTAGTAGTAGGCAAAATGACGTTGTTGAGAGACAAGGTGGTCATACGAGATGACTTCATGCCGTGATGAATGGCGTGAAGGAGGGTGAGCTGCCGATTTATGAACCAGAATGGGTTCTCGCAGACTTCTCTCCCCGACTCCTGGCAGAGATGAGGGCCAAAAGTTGAGCACGACGCTTTCAATCCTCGGAAGTGCGGTTATTCCGCAAAATGCATTG